CAGCACATTTTAGACCGGCCCAAAGACTGGCTTAGACTGGGTACCAGCCTATTAAGCTCGGTTGGAGTGTTTTTTGGGGGTGCCGGCTCAATTTTTGGACTTTAGACCAGCCTATTGTCTTGGGCTGGACTTGCTCTAATAATTTACTGCTTTTTCCCCGCATTATTTTCATGTGCTTGGTTATAATAATTACTCTGCTAAGTCGGAATCCCTTAAAGCAAAGAAAACGGAGAACCAAAACCAACGCCTACGAAACGTACTACAGTTGAGAAATTTTCCAGTACAACAGTCACAAACTCACAAGAATCAGGAAGCATGCACCATCTTTTGATCATAATCATTAGTTTGGAATCTTTGGATCTGTCCAAAAGCACTCGATCAATGTCAGGGTCATGTTAGGATTAATTTCAATTGCACCAAAGCAAACTTTGGATATGCCATTTCTTTTATTAAAGGGGCAAAAGATAACAATAAGATAAAGAAAATGACCTCAAAAGGAGGGTACCAGCTGCAAGAATTTGAAAGAGGAAAATCTATAAAATACATCCAACGTGGTAAGATCGTGTGGAAGATAAAAAATCTCAAAACAATCAATCGTGAGATAGGAAAAATGATGTTCTTAGCTTGTTTGTTAATTGAAAGATATTATAACAAAATACGAGCATCCAACTCAAAATTAATCGACAATAAATTGAGAATAGTTTATCAGCTATATATCGGCCTATTCTGATTCATTTTTCATCGTCTGCAATTATGCAAAAGCAGTAAAGCACCTTTCGTCTTTTTTTTTTTAATCAGTATGGAAGCACTTTTGAATCTTGATGATGAATTATTATTTCATGACGTTCAGCCAAGTATTTCATATTGAATATGGATACATTATGAGACATTGGGACACATAAAGCAGCAAGTTTCATTGTAAACAATGACTTTTAACTTTTTTTAGAGCAGAAGAATGTGCTTCCAATATATAGCACTTCAACACTAAAAAACAACAGTATATCTAATCTGGATTTGGGATCCCTGCAAAGTACGTACACTGCTTTCTTCCCTAATAATTTGATGCTTTTTTCAGTCCTTTTTCTTGCATTATCTAGTGTGGACTAATATATTGAACTTGTATAGAAGTCACACATTTACAATGGACTAGAAAATTTGAGTGTGATATTAATATATTGAACTTACACTAGTGAAGCAGTAATGTTATACGTATCAAACTCAAGTTACATGATTCTTATATATAAGTATCACACTCACACAAACTACTGTGAAATGTCTAAGGAAAGACACCTAAAGTCGGACCCCATAAGGCTAAAGGCAAAGAGAATGGAGAGCCAAAAACCTAACACCTACGGTCGAGAAACTTTTGAGTGTGACGATCATAGATTCACAAAAATAAGGCAAAATGCACCACCTTTTTGGATCATATTAGTACTTGGTTTGAATGTGCAGAATGTGGGAAAGTTGCATGCTCTTAAATCCACGAGAACACCTAACTCTTTTACGTTCGATTCTCCTTCATCTTGTATTAAAATTTGAGAAATTATTTTGCACTCATTTTTTTTTTCCCAACCACTCTCTTCTTTTATTATAGCCACTAAACTGAATAAATAAATAAAATAAAAAAATCAAGTAACGTAAACAAAAAAAGAAGTGCACAAGAAGAAGGGGAATGTGGTAAATTAAAATCCCAAAAAAAAATATATATTTAGGCTTGGGCTGCATGTAGTAGTAGAACCAGAATTTGGGCTTTGGGTGGACAAACAAGAAACAAGTTCGATCATCTAAAGGTTTCCTGGACAAATTTGAACCCAGTAAAAAAAAAAAGAAAAAAAAAAAGAAAAAGAGGAAGTTGGAAAACAAACTTTTTACCATATCCGGGAAGAGTGATCGTATGTACACTTATATTTCGTTTCTGAACATCTGAATACCTTTCTTTTATTTTTTATGATTATTTTTCTCTGGACACCTATTTTTCACTTTCTTTGAACATCCATTTTCTTGTCTAAATTATAAAGGCTTTCTCTTCAATTTTATTGTGAAATTCAACCGTCCTCAAGTTCATCAATCGCTTGATTACCACCCTATGAGCGTCCAAAAAAAAAAAAACTATTTTTCTTGAGAAAATCACTATGTTCTTTGTATAATTTTATAAATATGTATAATAGTCTCTCTGATTATTTTTTTTTTTTTTTCAAATAAAATTGATGGTTGTACGAAACCCAACCATCTGCTTGTGCCAGCCATGGTGATGTAGACATGGGGATGCGGGTGCTTAAACGGATTTTTGAGTTAGATGATTCTCACAGTGGGGACTATGTGATCATATCGAACTTGTGTGCAAGAGCGGGGAGATGGGAGGATGTGGATTACTTAAGGAAGTTGATGAGAGACAGAAGAGTTGTAAAGATTCCCGGATGCAGCTCCATTGAGGTGAACAATGTAGTGCACAAATTCTTTTCTGGAGACGGGGAGCGTTCTGTTTCTACTGTACTGCACCGGGCAGTTGACGAATTGGTTGAAGAATTAAAGCTGGCTGGATATGTTCCTGATACTTCTCTAGTGTTTCATTCTAACATGGAAGATAAAGAGAGAAGTTTCTCTCAGATACCATGGTGATGGATTATGATCATAGCTCTATTTAACGTCTTCCATACAATTATACAAGCAAGCATATACATGGGATGGAAGCACCTTTATCGTTGTTAATGCGGTCATATTTCCACTCTCTTCATACATAATGCTAGGCAAATGATCACAATACTACTAGGCATCGATCGATCATGGGAAACATAAAAGAAGAATGTCTTGACTCTTTGAAACGATACACTTAAATGAGTTGTTCACTTGTCAATCAGAAAACTAAAACTTATGCGGCTTTAATATTGGACTAATTTTTTTAGAAGCGGGTGTGTAATAGTTAGAGCGAATATACTTCTTTTGTATACCCATGTTCAACTCTCCATCTCAAAACTTAGATCACTTGTATCAAAAGTCCATACTTTTTGTTTTCGATGATTTCAGTATAAATGTACAAATTCGACCCTTTTTTGGTTGAAAGTATGTGAGTTTTTCACATTTAAATTTAGAGAGGCTCAAATCTTTAGTTAAGATAAATAATCACTTAAATGAGTCATTTCAGATATACGTCCCGATCATGCCTCAATAGGTACCAATATCGTAAATTGGTTTCTTTCTCTGGTGCAAGACCTGTGTGCCCAATAGCATCCACTTATTAACACTAAAAAAAAAAAAAAACCAATCCTATCTTATGACAAATTTGCATGTAGTTTAATATCCTAGTGATAGGATGTTAAGTTTTCATGCATATATATGTCATGTTTCAAAACTCTCTCCTAAATCATTTCAATAGTTTCGAACCCTCTTCATTCTCCTTAATAATAGTAAAATTAAAATAAAAAAAAACCAAAAAAACCCTAATTATCTAATTGCCATTGTTATGGTTGTCTTCTACAGAAAACATATGTTTTTCTTTGCCCCTTAAAATTGACTCAAAACATGTATACTAATCATGTTTATAATATTCTTTTGTGTTATACAATTTTAATTATCTTTAAACAAAAGTGTTGACAAGCACATGATAAGGTTCATGAGGGGTAAGATTTATGTCCCTCCCGACTAGGTATAGCTTTTTTTTTCCCCATATCAATAAATTTACCTCATACCACCGAGATTCTCAAAAAAAAAAACAAAAAGGACATAGTTTCCAGTTTGATTGTGAAGTAAGATAAGACCATGAACGTGGAAAGTGCTTTTCGGGCTATTTTAAGTGTGCAATTTTCATGTGTTTATTAGTAATGTATTAGAATGACAAAAAAAGTGATGATATTCAAAATATTAGTCATCATAAGATAAAATACACAATTATGATTTGAAAACGATTATTGGCATTCTAAAAACAAAGTTCGAAAGTCTGTTCGCCATTCTGAAAACGGTTATTTACAATAACATTCTAGAAAGTCTGTTCGCCATTCGCACTCCTCCAACTATAACAAAAGAGAAGTGCCGAATAAGTTTTATATTCGCGTGTCAATCGTACTGTTCTGAACAGTTATTGATGATATTGCAAATAATGCATGACAATAAGAGCATACGTCTCCTCTGAGATTAGATCCTAATGGAAAGTAGGCTTAATTTCTTCTAAAGCAAAGTTCGAAACATGTAAGTGGGTTTCCTTTTGAAAGCCTATAGACGTGTAATTTTCACCAATTAAATTCCACAGATTGTACAAGCTGTTAGACCAAGTCCGTGTCTGGTTTCTGTTCCCCCGACTTCAGGAAGTTGTGATCAACCTAAACTCTCATCTATGAAGAGTTAGTTCAGTTTACAACTCTCTTAAATATTTGTTGTTTCTGTGATACGTTTCCTTTGTATCTTCAATTGCATGCGTTCGAGCTATCAGCCAATGGGGAAAAAAATTGGATCTGTGTCGTTGGACTGCTAGGGCTCTGATACCATGTAAAACTTAAGTATATTCAAGGGTTCACTTCAATTGCATGCCTTTTCAATGAGAGGCTGCATGTATTTATATTCCACTTCTGATTACATCAGGGAATGAAATCCCTATTTACAAGGTTATTCAAAATTCAAAAATTACAACAGAAGATACAAAGGAAACGTATCACAGAAACAACAAACATTTAAAAGAGTTGTAAACTGAGCTAACTCTTCATAGACAAGAGTTTAGGTTGATCACAACTTCCTGAAGTCCCGGGAACAGAAACCAGACACGGACTTCGTCTAACACAAACTGCCTAATGCTCTCTTTAATTAAATATTGATGTTTGTTTGTGTGGCTATCTACTCATCCTCACCATCCATTTCCCTTTCTTTTCTGTTTTTCCAGGAACAAATGATTTTGTTATTGGAATTCAATCGTTTCTGGCAATGCTAGCTTTGGTCACCTTTTTGCATTATATAACTGGATAGCCCTTGCTTCCTCAGCGGAACCAAAGTTTTTATAGCGGGCAGCACAAAAAATGGAAAGCTTTAAAGCAGAGAAAATTGAGAGCCAAAACCTACCCTCACAGGAACCAACCAAAGGTGGAGGCACCTCATTTTTCAGAACATGTTTTAATGGTCTCAACACGTTATCAGGTAAATTTGTCTCTTTTTTGTCTCCGTCACACCATATTTTTAACTTTCTTAATTACGACAAATATGAGTTAGGTCAGTTGACTAGGTTAGCGTGTCTGACCCCTTCACACAAAACATTCTTAATTACCTTGTTTAATTTTTCAGGAGTTGGGATTCTATCGATTCCAATTGCACTTTCTGAAGGAGGGTGGTTGAGCTTAATCCTTCTTTTCCTGTTGGCACTTCTTTGTTGGTATACCGGGTTGCTTCTACAACGATGCATGGACGGGAATCCGCGGATCAAGAGTTATCCCAACATTGGAGAAGCTGCTTATGGACAGAAAGGAAGAGTCGCCATCTCCATTTTTATGTACCTTGAGCTGTATTTGGTAGCTGTTGAGTTTCTAATATTAGAAGGTGACAACTTAAACCAGTTGTTCCCAAGCATGGGTTTTAACATGGCAGGCCTCAAAGTCGGAGGCAAACAATGCTTTGTTTTGCTCACTGCCCTTGTAATTCTGCCAACGACATGGCTGAAGAGTCTAAGATTGTTGGCTTATGTTTCCGCCGGAGGAGTTTTCGCTTCTCTTCTTTTGGTTGCCTGCGTGTTTTGGGTTGGTGCGGTTGATGGTGTAGGGTTTCATGAAGGAGATGCTCTTCTTAATTTGAGAGGATTGCCTACTGCTGTGAGCTTGTATCTGTTCTGCTATTGTGGCCATGCAGTTTTTCCCACATTGTGCAATTCCATGAAGGACAGGAGCAAATTCTCCAAGGTCAGTATTTTTGAAGCACGGTTAAATAATTCATGGAACATGCGCAGATAAAACGGTTACAAATTTTTAATAAAAAACAGAACGAGAGAAACACATAAGAGGACTATAAAGAGGCATTAAATCATGATTCACACATGGCTTATTGTCGGTTTAGTCTCCTTCAACTTAATTTTTGATTAAAATTTGGGTAACTTTGGATGCGGTCTCTATTTATTAACATTCTTTGATTGAAACCTTATTCGTTTTCGATTTTTTATTGAAGTCACTAAAATTTTTGTAACGGATTCTATTTGTTCCTGAAATCTTTTGCAGTGATCTGACCATGTCCATTTTCCCCATCATTGCAGGTATTACTTATCTGCTTCGTTGCAAGCACCATCACCTACGGATCAATGGCGGTTTTAGGTTACTTGATGTTCGGACAAGAATTGAAGTCTCAAGTCACATTAAATCTTCCAGTACGAAAAATTAGTTCAAGGATAGCAATTTACATTACTATAATTAATCCCCTCACAAAGTATGCAATTATAATCACTCCGATTGCTGCTGCTATTGAGGATACACGCCCTTTTCGCAACAGTTGCACAATTAGCATCTTCGTGCGAACCTTAATTGTAATTAGCACCGTAATTGTGGCCTTGGCCATTCCGTTTTTTAGCTACTTAATGGCTTTAATCGGCGCATCTCTGAACGTGATGGTCTCAGTCTTGCTGCCGTGCTTGTTCTACCTCAAGATTACCGTTGCTGCTAGGAGATTCGGGTTTGAGTTGGCGGTAATTGTTGCGATTATGGTAATAGGGTCTTTTGTTGGGGTAGTTGGTACGTACACTTCTGTGAAACAAATTGTAAGACAATTCTGAAATCGTAATGGAGCATTTTAATTAGTAACTCTGATAAAAAATTTGCAAGAAGTAGAATTTCACCACATGATTCGTTTCCCATTTCTACAATTATGCAAAATCACTTTCTATTTTTGCTTTTTTTTTTTTTTTTTTTTTTTTTGGTTCGGTATGGAAGCACTTTTGACGATGAATTTGTTGGAAAATTAGTTCTTATTATTATTGTTATTTTATTAGTTTTGTTGTGGGTCAAGGATTATGATTATTTATCTGTTATGTTTAGAATTTATTTTCGTTTTTCTCTTATAAATAGGAGTCTTATAAGTCCATTAAAATGTAATCTTACGAATTATGTAACCTTCTTAATGAATCTTCTTGTATTTCTTCGATTTCAATATTCTTTAATTTCATAATTCTTTTATTCGTTCATGGTACGCATACTATAATTTTCAACTGAACTGTCTTCGGTCAAATGTCAATACTGCTTCCGGATCATGGCTTTCAACTTTCTGTAGTACAGAAGGAACAAAGAACAATGCTTTCCTAATAATTTACTGCTTTTTCCCTGCATTATTTTCATGTGCTTGGATATAATAATTACCCTGCTCCAAAGACTCTTGCATTATTCATATGAATATAAAGTGGGAATCCCTTAAAGCAAAGAAAACGGAACCAAAACCAACGTCTACGTAACGTACTACAATTGAGAAATTTCCAGTATAACACTCACAAGCTCACAAGAATCAGGAAACATGCACCATCTTTTGATCAGAATCATTAGTTTGGAACCTTTGGATCTGTCCAAAAGCGATTCGATCAATGTTAGGGTCATGTTAGGATTAATTTCAATTGCACCAAAGCAAACTTTGGATATGCCATTTCTTTTATTAAGGGGGCAAAAGATAACAATAAGATAAAGAAAATGACCTCAACAGGAGGGTACCAGCTGCAAGAATTTGAAAGGGGAAGATCTATAAAATGCATCCAATGTTGTAAGATCGTGGGAAAGATAAAAAATCTTAAAACAAATAATCGTGAGATATGAAAAATGACATTCTTAGCTTGTTACTAAATAGTTAAAAGATATTATAACAGAATACGAGCATCTAACTCAAAATTAATCAGCAATAAGTTGAGAGTAGTTTATCAGCTATATGTTGGGCTATTCTGATTCATTTTTCATCGTCTGCAATTATGCAAAAGCACCTTTCGTCTTTTGTTTTTAATCAGTATGGAAGCACTTTTGAATCTTGATGATGAATTATTATTTCATGACGTTCAGTCAAGTATTTCATACTGAATCTGGATACATCATGAGACATTGGGACACATAAAGCAGCAAGTTTCATTGTAAATAATGCCTTTTAACTCTTTTTTAGTGCAGAAGAATGTGCTTCCAATATATAGCACTTCAACACTGAAAAACAAGACATCCATAGAAAAGAAGAGCATATATTTAATCTGGATTTGGGATCCCTGCAAAGTACGTACACTTCTTTCTTCCCTAATAATTTGCTGCTTTTTTTTCAGTCCTTTTTCTTGCATTATTCATGGCCTGTCATGCATTATCTAGTGTGGACTAATGTACTAAATTCGTAGAGGAGTCACACTTTTACAATGGACTAGAAAATTTGAGTGTAATGCTAATATATTGAACTTACACTAGTGTAGCAGTAGTGTTATACGTATCAAACTCAAGTTACATGATTCTTATATATAAGTATCACACTCACTCAAACTACTGTGAAATACGTAAAGGGACCCCATAAGGCTAAAGGCAATAAGAATGGGGAGCCAAAAACCTAACACCTACGGTCAAGAAACTTTTGAGTGTAACAATCATAGATTCACAAAAATAAGGCAAAATGCACCACCTTTTTGGATCATATTAGTACTTAGTTTGAATGTGCAGAATGTGGGAAAGTTGCATGCTCTCAAATCCATGAGAGTACCTAACTCTTTCACGTTCGATTCTCCTTCATCTTATATTAAAATTTAAGAAATTATTTTTGCACTCATTTTTTTTTTCCAACCACGCTCTTCTTTTATTCTAGCCACTAAACTGAATAAATAAATAAACCAAATAACGTAAACAAAAAAGAAGTGCAAAAGAAGAAGACGGGAATGTGGTAACCAGAATTTGGGCTTTGGGTGGACAAACAAGGAACAAGTTCCATCATCAAAACACACAAGATAATGATATGGCAGCGCCGGCTGTCCAAATAAGCCCATTCTCTCACCCAAAAACCAACAGAGACACCCCTCTCTCTCTCGTCCCCAAGTGCTCGACTTTGAGACAAATCAAGCAAATCCATGCCTTTTCCATCAAAACCCATCTCCAACATGACATCTCCGTCCTCACCAAGCTCATCAATTTCTGCACCTCGAACCCTACGAGTACCTCCATGGACTACGCTCACCACCTGTTCGACCAAATTCCCCACCCGGACATCGTCGTCTTCAACACCATGGCTCGCGGCTACGCTCGCTCTGACACCCCGTTTCGAGCCATTTCACTCTTCTCCCACGTTCTGTGCGCAGGTCTCTTCCCAGATGACTACACATTCCCGTCGCTTCTCAAGGCGTGCGCCGGCTCTAAAGCGTTAGAAGAAGGGAAGCAATTGCATTGCTTTGCTATCAAGTTTGGCCTCCACCTTAACATCTATGTGTGTCCTACACTTATAAATATGTACACCGAGTGCAATGATTTGGATGCCGCTCGGCGGGTGTTTGATAAGATAACGGACCCTTGTGTTGTTATACACAATGCCATGATCACGGGCTATGCTCGAAGTAGCCGGCCAAATGAGGCGTTGGCGTTGTTTCGAGAAATGCAGGCAAGCAATGTTAAGCCTACTGATGTAACCATGCTTTGTGCTCTTTCTTCATGTGCTTTGTTAGGAGCATTAGACTTGGGAAAGTGGATACATGAATATGTTAAGAAAAACAGGTTTGATAATTACGTTAAAGTGAACACTGCACTGATAGACATGTATGCAAAATGTGGAAGCCTGGAGGATGCAGTGTCTGTATTCGAAAACATGAGTGTCAAAGATACTCAGGCTTGGTCTGCAATGATCGTGGCATATGCGACACACGGGCATTGTTCCAAAGCCATATCTATGTTCGAAGAAATGAAAAGAGCACGAATTAGACCTGATGATATCACCTTTTTGGGTCTCTTGTACGCGTGTAGTCATGCTGGATTTGTTGAGGAGGGTTGCAATTATTTCTACAGCATGAGTGAGAAATATGGGATTTCTCTCGGTGTTAAGCATTATGGTTGCATGATAGATTTGCTAGGTCGGTCTGGACGCTTAGAGGAGGCCTACAACTTCATAGATGAGTTACCAATTAAGCCGACACCCATATTCTGGCGAACGTTGTTATCTGCTTGTGGCAGCCACGGTGATGTAGACATGGGGATGCGGGTGCTTAAACGGATTTTTGAGTTAGATGACTCTCATGGTGGGGATTATGTGATCATATCGAACTTGTGTGCAAGAGCGGGGAGATGGGAGGATGTGGATTACTTAAGGAAGTTGATGAGAGGCAGAGGAGTTGTAAAGATTCCCGGATGCAGCTCCATTGAGGTGAACAATGTAGTGCACGAATTCTTTTCTGGAGACGGGGAGCGTTCTGTTTCTACTGTACTGCACCAGGCAGTTGACGAATTGGTTGAAGAATTAAAGCTGGCTGGATATGTTCCTGATACTTCTTTAGTGTTTCATTCTAACATGGAAGATAAAGAGAGAGAAGTTTCTCTCAGATACCATAGTGAGAAGTTGGCGATTGCTTACGGGCTCTTAAACACAGCCCCCGGGGCAACAATCCGCGTCGTGAAGAACCTTAGGGTATGTGGGGATTGCCACTCTGCTGCTAAGTATATATCGTTGATCTTTAATAGACATATAATTCTTCGAGATGTCCAACGGTTCCATCATTTCAAACAGGGAAAGTGCTCTTGTGGAGATTATTGGTAGTTTAACTTAATCGAACTGGAGATCATTTTTATCATAGCATAGAAAATATATTGGCTTGACAAAATTTCTTCATTTCGTTGGTGGAAGGCGATCCTCGATATCACGCTCTTCGCCAAATCCACTTCGATGATCATCGGCAGGCTGACATATTTGTCAAGCATCATCAACAAGAAGGCAGATTAATTTGTTGTAAATGTAAGACAAACTATGTTGTTACAAAAATATTTGTACTAATTCAGGTATTTACAAATTAATCATGGGAATTCGAACTTAGAAGCACATTGCTCTAACCAATTTGGCTAAGCTCAGTTTTACAGTGAAACTCGAGAAATTGGGTACACTTCTGGTATAATATGTTACAAAGATGCATCTGGGACTAGCCAGCTTCATGAGGTTTATTGAATGTCCATGCAGCCCGACGAGATGCTCGTCCAACATTGAGTTCCCATCCTTCTAGTTACTTTGATATTATGAGATTTTCTAGTATCGTCCAGACCAAGATTTGATGGCCAAACTTCAGGTGTATTACATATACCGGAGCATAGTAGAATTTCCATAATATCAGTAAGCTCATTGGATATTGGACTCTCTCATAGTAAAATTTCGCTGTCATCGTAATGTAATTACACATGTAATTAAGTTGCTCTAAACTGTCAAAATTCTTGTCCACCAGATTATCATTGGAAAGAGGGAAAAAGGACGTCGGCAATCATTTTAGGAAGCTGTTTCAGATGTTAAACGAAAAATCCTGTAAAACAATCACAAATACGCACAAATATATTCATAAATTGTAATGATTCAGTTCTCCGCGATGTAGACAGATGACTTGTAATTTGAACAGAGACATGAGTTCTCCACAATTTATCTTGGCACTATTTGAGTTCTAATAAATTAAAATTTGGGAAAGTTTTTCAAACTTCTTATTATGCTATTGGAAGATTTTTTTTACACTTTCTGATTTAGGGGCAATGCTTTCACATCTTCTCATACTTCATCACAAATGACAAAATTTAAGCCTGAGCCGCCTAACATGTGAACAATGCTGACAAGAAATAGTGGAACTCCATGTATCATTGTACTTAGTTGTTTAAAGATCAAATATTGTCATCAACTATTTTTCGATGTCATGATAGTTTGCTCCACTTAGAGTAAGTATCATGTTTGATTTGCAGAGACAATAACACTATATATTTGTAATGAGTTTGACAGTGAGTTATGGTTCATTTAATTGTGGTAACGTAATTTTGTTGTTATGTTTTGGACTGTCGTAAAAGTATTTTGTGAATATATTTTGTAAGAAAAAGATCCAGCTAATGTTAAGATACAAAATGAAAATTGCTAAAATGAGGAGAGAATATCCTCTTGATCAATATATGCCAAGTTTTCAGTATGAAAGCATTAAGCATGTATGGAAATCACGGCACGCTATTTCACCAACATTATTGCTATTGGTGACCACATTTATATATGCATGCATGCATGTTACAACCACATGATTTAGATTTGTTTTATTTGAT